TGGTCCAGCCCAACCCAACCCCTCTTTCCTCCCCCAAGCCCTGCACCCTCAGCCCTGCTCTCCTCTGTGCTCTCACGGGGCAGGAAGGAGCCACCAAGAGCTACTGTGGTGCCCCCAAAGCGTTTCCTGTGGCAACCACCTCTAAGGTTGAACATTTCCTCCAAAACATCCTCCCTCTTCTTCCAGCCCTGGCACTGGCCACAGCAGGGTGTCCTTGTCCTGCTGCCCACTCCCCAGAAAGAGGAGCCCTGCCAGAGGGGACTTGCAGGAGGAATGGCAGGAGATGCCACCCTGGTGCCCACATGGACATTTGGCTCCTGCCCCGGACCCTGTGCTGGCCAAGAGCCCTCCCTGCTCCTGGCCCTGCAGGAGGGACAGTGGGGACTTGGAATAAAAACCAGTGAAAGGGCCACAGGAGGTTTCACAATGAAATCCCAATTGACACAAAGAGCTTTGCAGTTTCCTCAGCAAATATTTGCAAATATGACTTTACATTTCCACAAATGAAGTGGCAGCACCCCTTGGAGATACACACAGACACCCTCATCCAGCAGCTCACAGCAGCTGGAGGCTGCAAAAGCACCAGGAATTTCATCACAAGCAGATTTTCTTGGGAAAAAAAAAGAAATTCCTGGTGCCAACACGAGTTCAAGCTTCTGTCCCATCTCCACCCTTCACTCCCCAGCAGGCTCAGTGTCCCCTGGCCTTTTTTTCTGAGCTGCTGATTGACTTTCCCCATTTCTCCAGAGCCTCTGGGCAAAAAAAGTAGGAATTATCCTGGGAATGGGCAATGCAGGAGTCCAGGATGCTTCTGTGATAAGTGTGTGGGGATTTCTTTGTCCTCCTTGAGCTTCTGGGCCGCCCGGGTCCCCTCCTGCCCATCACTGGGTGTCCCCAGCCCAGCCACAGCTGTGCCCCTTCACCTGGGGCTCTGTGTGGAGGGAAGGGCTTGGTCGTTCTCAGAAAAGTGGGCAGAAACCCAAACGACTTCGCAGGAAAATCCAGGCAGGTCGGCCTTGGAATCTGTCTCAGTGGGGAGGAGGCAGAGCCTGGCAGAGACCAGCTGGGCCAAACCTCTGCGCGGGGACAAATCCAGCGTGTGGTGCCTGCGCCGAGTTTGGTTACTTTGGCCCACACGGGGATCCCACGCGCCTTCCCAAAGGCGTTCCCGAGTGGTCCCCACGTGTGGATGAGAGCCCTGCAAGGCCTGGCCAGCAGAACGAGCCCCTGTGCTTTAAACCTACCCCCCATCGAACCTGGTTTGGGGAGGGGCAGCAGCCCCACCTTGCCAGGTCCCCCCTTGTCCCCACAGCCCCGGCCCTGCTCCCACAGCGTCCCTCGGGGGAAAGCTTCGCAAATCACTTTCTTGCAAATCATTTGCAAATCACCTGCGAAGCATCCACTGGCTGGAAAAGCAGCGGCTGAGGGCCAGGTCCCCCCTCCAAGGCCACGGGTGAAATCGCAGCCGGGCTTGCCCACAGACACCCCCACAGCCCGTGGCGTGTCCCTGCCCCTGACCCCGGCACAAAAGAAACACCCCGCGGTACCTATTTTCGCAGCGTCCATTCTCAGGTTGAAATCCCAGTTCCTTGGCAGCTTGAGGGACATTTTGCACCGGGGAGGGCTCTTTTTCTTCCCAAGGTGGGCTTGCTGAGGAGACGGGCTGAGCCGCAGCTCCGGCGGTCCCGTGGGGATCCCACACGGGGGGTTGATCCCCCCACGAAGAGCGACAGCTCGGCGGGGCTCGATTTGCCAACGAACTTCCTCCTGCCTGCGACAGCTGCCGAGATCAACCCCATAAAAGTACCTTCCTGCCCCTGCTTCCCCGCACGGCTCCGCTCGGGCTGCCCCGACGACGCTCAGGGTGATGCCCCCCTGTCTGCCCCCCGCTCTGGGGGCTGTGGGGACACGGCAGCCCCGTCCCAGCCCACCCGGGACGCGGTCCCAGCCCACCCAGGACGCGCTGCCCGGGGCTCCCCACGCTCCGCTCGGAGCATTTGAGGAAGTGGGTCCCGCTGGGGCACCGAGAGCCGCTCGCCGGAGGACGCGGCCCAGCCCGGAGTTTCGGGAAGGTTTTGCTCAGCAGCGAAGCGGGTCCAGCTGTGGCCTGGGTGGCCACGGCTGTGGGATGGTGTGCCTGCCCTGGGGCATCCCCCTGGGCACACAAGGGTGTCCTTTGATCTTTCTTGCCGACTGCTGAGTCCCCGCAGCTGATTTAGGGTTTTACACTCGCGTCGTGACAGCAGTGGGAGCCAGATGGGGATGAAATGAGGCAGCCCTTGGAGGGAAGGCTGTGGGGATCGAGCAGTGAGGGCCAGGGGGTCACAGAAACATGGAATGGTGTGAGTTGGGAGGGACCCTAAAGCCCATCTGGTTCCACCCCTTGCCATGGGCAGGGACACCTTCCCTTATCCCAGGTTGCTCCAAGCCCTGTCCAACCTGGCCTCGGACACTTCCAGGGATGGGGCAGCCACAGCTTCCCTGGGCAAATGTAGGATGTGGACACACCAGGAGCACTGGATGAAGCGAAATCCCTGCCCACAGCAGCGGGTGTATCCTGTTTGGTGCTGGTTTTCCTCCAAGGAACTGGCTGTGCATCCCCAAAGCAGCCTGGCATGTGGTTGGACTGAGCTGCAGCTCTTGAGGCGCAGGGAGGAGGCACAGGAGGGTTGATACAAGCACGCAAATGAGCAGTGAGGGGGCTCCAAGCCATGGCAGGGTCCCCCCAAAGCCTGACAGAGGCTCCAGCTGCCATCTCCCCCATCCTGGGAAAGCCCAGACCTTGTGGAGAGGGAAGTTGCCCCGAGCAGAAGCAGGAACAGCGACGGGGGGGAGTGCGGGGGGATGAATGAGGACGTGGCCACTGGTTCCCGTTGTGATTTCCAGCCCAGGGTCGTGCCCAGGGTGCTCTGAGCCACTTGCAAAGGCTTTTTTTTTTTTTTTTTTTTCCAGTCTTGTAGCATAAGTTGAGAAAAGGAAGGAGCTGGAGCCTGCACTGGGTGTCCAAGTCACATCATGGTGGACCCTCTGGGCTAATTTGGCTTAATCACAGCCAAAAAAACCACTTCTGTTGCTTTGGGCAGTGAGTGGAGCCAGCTCAGGGATCCCCAGCTCACACATTCCACTGCCCAGGGAACATGACAGTGTGGAACAACCCAGCAGAGCAGCCCGGAGCAAACGAGATTAACCCAATATCCTGCTTGGGACCCAAACTCCTCAATCAGCTCCACTTCTGCTGCACCCCAGGTGGAGAAAGTCCTGAAGGAGCCCTGAATTAAACACCATTTTCCCCTCTTAATACTATCAGCAGCCAGCCACAGGAGCTCCAGGGGGCTCACACATTTTGAACCCTTTTTTTTTCTCCTTCAGCCCTTCAGTTCTTTCTGGAGCAGCCCTTTCCCACCCCGCTGGGTGAGCAGGATGTCACATGGTCCTTCCCCCTCCTCCAGAACGGAAACTGTTGTGTCTTAGCCCCGAATCTGCCGTTCAGCCCAGCTCTGCGGTCACACCACAGGGCTCAGCCCTCCCTGACACCCCAAAACAGCCCTTCCCAGCACCCCCAGAGCCCCCTTCAGCTGCCTCCTGCCTGAGCCCATCGGGCAACCCGCTGGTTGCTTCTGGGTTTGGGAAAGGACAACACAAGGTTGATTTTTTTTTAATTAGCAATCAAGCTGAATTCCTGAGCTGAATAACAGAATAGTTTGGCTTGGAAGGGACCTTAAAGATCATCTCATTCCAACTCCCTGCCATGGGCAGGGACACCTTCCACTAGCCCAGGTTGCTCCAAGCCCCGTCCAACCCTGGCCTTGGACACTTCCAGTGATGGGGCAGCCACAGCTTCTCTGAGAATTCCATCCCAGCCCCTCAGCACCCTCACAGGGAGTGAATTTCTTCCCAATATCCCACTTAAACCTACCACGCCCCAGGAGAACTTTAAAAAGGCAAATCTCAGCCCATGAAGTTGTTAGTTTTGTTTTTACATCCCCCTTCCATCAGGATCTCATGGAAAACGTGTCTGGACAGGGGTCACACAGAGGCAGCTTTGGTTTGAGGCTGTCTGGGTGTGGAGAACAGCGAGTACCAGGATTTCCACTGGGAATGTGCAGTTTCCCACATCTGATTTAATGAAAACTGGCCCAGGACAGGGAGAAATAAGGTGGGCTGTGCAGCTGAGGGGCTGACAGGGCTCTGGGCCCCATCAGCTGTGCCTGACTCACGGCAGGGTCACACCACAGCCCCGCTGCCTGAGGCTCCACGGCTTCCTCAGGGCTTCACAGCCCCCTCTCCAGCACATTTACCCTCAAGGAATCATTTCAGACCTTGAATTGCTTCCCACATCGCTGAATATCGCAGGGTGGGTCTCAGCAAGCTCCTGCTATAACCAGGTGAGGTGCCAGAATGTGGGATTTGGGGCTTCGGGGTCACTTTGCGCCCTGGCCATCGAGAGGGCGGCGTGTTGTGGTGCTGCTGGAGGGTGAATTTGTCTGCAAGTGCCCACACAGCGTGACAGGAAGCTCGTAAAAGGGCTGCTGAGGGGCTGGTTTGGCTTAGCTGATAAGTCAGAAACAGTCAAAATAGCACCAGAGCTAAAAATAGCGTTTTTTCTGGGTAAACAGAGAATTCTGCCCTCCCAACCCCAGGCAAGCCAGGAAAAACGGCTGAAATGAAGGAATAATTTATATTCTTCACATTCCCAATGAAATCTCTGGGGTAAAATGAGCTGATTTACAGGGGCAGCAGTGCCAACACTCCCCTCACCACTGATCAAATGGGGCCTGGATGATCCGACCCCAGGGTCACTGCAAATCCCGCTGGGAATGTGGACATGGATGGTCCAATCCTGCCCATGTGCTCTCTGCCAAAACCAGGTCTGCTCCTGGGAAAATCCCCGAGGAAGGAGCAAGGAATGAGGGAATGTGAGATTGGAACAGCTGGATCTGGCTCTACAGAGCACGGAAAGGAGGTTTGGAGCATCCCACTGAATAAAACTCCACTGCAGATAATGGAACTTATATTTATTTAACAGTAACATACAGTATATAAATAGGGTAGATACTTTTAAAATATACAATATATCACATTCGAACATTCGGTCAAAGGAAGGCAACTCTACGTGTGCAGCTAAAACAGGAACCAAAAGAACAACGCACAGAGAAAGAAGCCGATGGTGGGAACACGGCAGGGCTGGAGAACAGGGCACACAGGGATTACAGGAGCACAGAGTGCCACCCCAGGGAGGGGACAACCCCAGGAGCTTCCCCACGATGCCTTCCATGACTGACCTGAGCCCAGGAGGGGCTAGAGGGGCCGTTTGGGTGCTGACACACAGCTCTCTGCCCTGCTCCCACCACAGGCAGCTGGGGGAGGAGGAGAGGGTGGGATCCCACCAGGGCCAGGTCTGGGGGAGCCCCCTGCACATCCTGGAAACAGGAGACATCCCTTGGAAAAGGCTCCTGGGATTTCACAGTTTTAGGCGATGCTGGGGGATCTCCAGCTCCACGAGCCACCAGGAACCCCAGGGATTGGTGTCACTGCCGAGCCCCTCACCCCAAAGGATCTGTTTAACACAGGCTGATCACACAGGACACAACTGCACAGACCAGGTTTGGGGCTTCCCTGAGCACTCTGGGCCACGGGCTGGCCCCTGCATCCCATCTGCACACTCATCTGGGACACAAATTCCGACCCCAGTGTGCCAGGTGCTCATCTCCCAGACCCAGCCTGTCCCAGCTCAGGCTGGGGATCAAACCCATGGCCCAGCTGAACCATCCACTGGCCAACAGCCCTGGGGGTGCTCAGTGCCCTCCCCAGCACAGCCAGCCCCTCACTGCACACAAAAGCAGCTTTCCAGCCACGTGCCATCCCTTCATAAAACACTCCCACGTCCCTCTCTGCCTGTTCCAGTGGCACTGGTGCAGAGGTGGCTCCCACACCAGCCTGTCCCTGCCCTCAGAAGCTCCACACTGGCCACATCCTACTCGTCTCTTCCTCTCAACCCAAGCACACGTTGCAGCTGACACAGGACCTCCCCCTTGCTCTGCTCCTCCTATTTGTTTGGCACAAGCAGGAAGAGCTTCCCCAGTGCTGGAGCCCACTGGGAACCAAAACTATGGTGCAACCTGAGCTGGAGCCCCGAGCTGGAGAAACTCCCCTTGGGCATCTCCTTCCCAGCCATCCCTGGGGTCACTCTGGCCTCTCTCCATCAGCCTCCCTCCCAACTGCAACTCTCGAGAGCTGCAGCATCACCAAGGTCCTGCAAGGCCTAACACAGTGGCAAAGAGGGGGCCACATGAGGGACAACCAAAGCCAGTAACAACAACTCTTCTTTTTTTTTTTTCTCAGCAAGTGGTGAACTCCCCATCCCTGCAAGTGTTCAGGATCAGGCTGGATAAGCCTTGGAGCAAGCTGGCCAAGTGAAAGGCTTCCTGCCCACGGCAGGGGTTGGAACAAGATCATCTTTCAGGCTCCTTCCAACCCACAGCGCCCCAGGATTCTCTAGGTCCAGCTGTACAACTTGCAAATATTCCTAACAACCCCCATCTCCCTGCCTTCCTCCACTGTTTCCATTCAGTTTAACAGACTTCCATGCAGGATACTTAAACCCTTTCCACTCAGCCTTGCCCTTCAGACCAGCAGAGGCTTGGAAGTTCCCCCTTTCCCTGCAGTGCTGGGAAGGAAGCAGGAATAAAGCTGATGAGGGAAGCAGCCACCCACAGGCAGAGCTGCTGCTGCTGCTGCTTCTCTCCCAGCCAGGGCAGCCTCTAAACGGAGCCACTTTGCCCTCCAGTGCCCACACCCAGCACTTGCACCCTCCAGAAAGGCCCAGATAAACCAAAGCCTGAAGCAAAGCCTTGGGTCAGGGTTTGCCCAGCCTTGGGTCAGGTTCTGTCCCACTAATCACAGCTGAAGAGGCACAGAAGGGTCAAAGCAGAAGAGCAGGAGACTAAAAAAACTTCTGGACATTGGAAAAAACTTCTCAATATAAACAGAGCACACTTTTGGAATAGTTACTAACACCATCACTTCTGCCTGTGACCCAACAGTACCCACCAGGGGTTTTGGCAAGGGCAGGGGAACCCTGAAAAGCACCAGCTGGTCCAACCCCACAGGGCAAAATGATCTCAGGGACTGCACAAAGCAACCCCCACACCCATCCCCATGGATGCTCCTGGCAGGTACCCTCACTTTGCCTTGCTGAAATCACCCAGAATGTGATGAAACCCAGCCCAAATGGTCTCCCTGGGCACCTTAACCCACCTCTCCAGGTTGCCAGTGAGGGGCCTTGGACCAACATTCTCTAAGAGGACAGAAAATAAATCCCTGCCTAATTCAAGTTGGGAAGGAACAGACACCACAACCAGCCCAGGGACACCACTGGCATTCCCCAAAGCCAGTCCTGCCCTGGCTCAGTGCAGCAGCTTTGCCAGCACCACACTGAAAACACTCTGGGGAAACAGCCCCTTCCTCTGTGCTTTCCATCAAATCCCTGCATTTGCAGACAAATTCCTGCCCTGGGGGTCCTGTCTGGGCAGAGGAAGCAGAGCCCAGCACAGGGTCCTGCAGAAATGCAGGGGAGAGGCTGGATCTGTTCAATATATTTACACACACACACACGAGCTCTCTTGCACACAGCAATGGCAGAACCAGAACAGGGAGGGAAAACTGAATTTGGGGTGTTTTCAGGTGGTTTATTTTCTGTCGAGGCTAAGCCAGGTTGCAGCAGGTACAGGTCTCATATTGGGGGGGGCTGTGCCTAAGGGTTGTGTCAGCAACTGCTTGAAAACACCAATGTACTTCTGTATGAACTCTCCCTGTCACTCCTTCCCCAGGTTAAAATAAGGTAAAAGTTCTCTCTCCCATGCACAAACTATGGAAAGAAGGAAAAATCAAGAGTCACCTCGTGTTTGGGATCATTGTATAAGGTGGAAATGGGGATATTTTCACTATTTGAGCACAAAAAAGAAAAAAAAAAGTTTTACAATTAGGGCTCTCCATTTTAAATAATAAAAAAAGTATGACAAAATAAAGGAAAGTACTTCAGTAAAACTTGCAGCTATTAAGTACAAACTATTTCTGACAAGATTCAGTGAGCAAAGCAGGACAGAAGCCTGCAGAGAAATGAACCCAGACTGAAATGCAACACAGACCGTGGTAAACTCAGCAGCACAACATCTACAACTCAAGTAACAAACAGACATGATCCCTGAAAAGAAAACAAAACTCCCAGTGGAGCCCCAGCAGAGCCAGAGCCCAACCAGCAAGAAAACAGGCTGGAAACTGCTCCCCAAATTGCCTAAAATATCCCAGTGAGGGGTTTCCAACCATCAAGAAATGGAAAAGGGTGGTTCTTAAAGGTTATTTAATGGGGGAAAATGAACCAAGTTAATTAAGGGTTGTTCTTACTTGGCAGGAATTACTCAGTGAAGCTTCAATGCTCTTTAAAACTTATTTACTCCAAGCAGTTTTGAAGCGATTTGAACCTCCCACATTCCCACGTGCAACTCCCAGTTCCTTGGCTCCTTGTCCCCAGTCTGTTCCTGGTTTAATTGGTTATAAAAGTCTCATCTGCCAAAATATCAGCCACAAAAAAAGAGGGAATGTGAGAGGCACTGCAAAAACCAGCAGGTGAGAGCAGCTGCAGGTGCCTGGCTGTGCAGAGGAAACAGGGCTGGGTTAGTACAAGATCCTCTTCCAATTACCAGAGCCTGGGCAAGGAGATCCCCACAGCTTTCTGGGAGAACTCCCACTGCATTCCCAGGTCCCACTGGAGAGAAGGCTGGTCCCCAGAGCTGCCACCAGCCTGGCACAGCAGCCAGGGGAGGGCACGGAGTCACTTCCCTGCCAGCTCCACACAGACAACGCTCTGTATTCCCTGCAAAAACCCACTCACAGGGAAAGCTCAGCACTGCCCAAACACTGCAAAGGTTCAGCACAGTCCTACCCTCCTGCTTCAGCCCACAGTCCTTCCAAACCTTGACTCCTCCTCAGCTCCAAACCCGAGATTTGCTCGTTTGAACCAAAGCTCTATAAATATATTATTTTTAAAAAAAAAAAAAAACCACAAATGCAAACATTTACCAAGAAAGGAAGAAAAGTTACAGTGAAATGAGGCCTTGTTATTGTCTTCAATCAGGCAAGCCAGGGATTTCCTCTTGGGGGCCTGTCTGTGCTCAGTCCTGTCCCGCTCTCCCGGTGCCTACGCGTCCTCCAGGCTCCCCAAAATTCCCCTGTCAACCAGGTGTGCTTTGAGCGTGTTGAAGATGTGGAGCTGCTGGTCTGGCCTCAGGGTCAAGAACTGCTGGATCAGTTTGCTTGGGTTGGGGCCCCTGAAACACAAAATCACCATTATCAGAGAGGCAACATGGCTAAATCTCTTTGAGCTGGGGGCTCCAGTGCAACTGCAGCGAAATACTGGGCTTAAATTATTGACCACATTGTCCATTCCTTCACCAGCCCTACATGGGGAGCTTAACTCCACTTGGGATGTGGAAATCAGTTCAAAAGGCACGGGGTGCTGAACTGTAGACACAAAAGAACACCCCAAATGCAGTGTGTTTAAAGAGGACTGTGCATCTCAGCAGCAGGTGCTCCCCCTCTCAAATCCAGGCAGCCACACAGAGACAGTTCCTGGGCTCCTTGAGACATCTTTGATGTGCCTACAGGTTTTCTTCTGTGCTTGGCTACAGAACGCTTGTTAATGCTACAAAATGAGATTTTTCCTGCTTGTCTGACTCTGGAAACCCTGTCCAACCCTCACAGAAGGAGGAGTTTCAGTGGGACTGGAATAACAGCCCTTGGGGAACGAGGGTTGTGCTTCCAGCTCTGCCCGACCCCACTAAAAGACCCTTCCCTTCCCTCAAGCCTTCCCCCTGTGTCTTCTTGTTTTTAGATGTCAGTCTAAGGGGGAAACTGCCTCTCCTGCCCAGCCTGTCCAGCCCTGGGTCGTGCAGGGCCCCCAGAGCAGCACAGACCTGATGAAGCTGGCGATGTACACGTTGACAAAGGTGGCCATCAGGTACTGGCAGTCAAAGCGGTCCATGATCCCTCCGTGCCCCGGGATGGTGTTGGCAAAGTCCTGAGCAAAGCAGAGGGATTGCATTGAGCACTTCCAAATACCTGCTATAACTTGCTTCCGTGCCTCCCCACGTGGCACTCACCCCCTTGCTCCAGTTCTTCCCAGAAGGCAAAGTCAGGTTGAGGAGACATTTTGTTTAATCTCTCCCCTGGTTTTAAAAAGTTTCTCCTGCATGAAGCTGCTGGTGCCCGAGGGACAGTGAGGCTTAACTGTCACTCAAAGGTCAGGGAAGGCTGATGTTTATCTCCTGTCACCCTGCCTTGCCCTTCAAGGCATCTTAACTGATCACAGACCGTTTACATGTAAAACCAGCCTGTTGACATCAAGAGAAGCCTCAGATTGCAAAATTTCCTGGCCGGGTCTGTCCTCCCCTACTTCAATTTCTGCACCACAGCAGGGTTTAGAACACCACAGCTGAAATGTTAAGGTCTTTTCCCATTCAGTCAAAAAAAAACCCCAGATCCTGCTCCACCTTACCTGTGACTGAACAAACACCCCCTCCCTTCCCAGAGCACCATCCTGCTGTTCCCTGGAGTGCAGGGACTGCTCTGAGAGGCAGCAACCCTTTGGCCTTCCCTTCCTAAAAGGCAGCTGACCCTGCCCATCCTCACCTTGATTTTGAAGGCCCTCTTGAACCCACTGGCAAAGAAGCCTCCGAAGGGCCCGATGAGGGAGGCGAAGGTGGAGAGGGCGATGCTGTGGATTTGGAAGGGGTACATCCGGACCGTCTTCTGCAGGAGAGACACGGCACAGAGGGATTTTCCACGAGAACACCACTGCCCACTGCTTGCCCCTCCTTCTCTGCCCCCCAGCATGTAGCTCAGCTGGTTTTCAAGTGGGTTAATGCCCCACCAGACCCAGGACAACTCCTTGGGGATGTCAGCCAACAGTGACCACACCACCATCCTCCCTTGTCGTGTTCCTTCACGCACACCATCAAAACAAAGCCCTGCTCTCCTTTCTTAGGGCTCCTATCCCAATAAACTGGATGTGATAAACAGGGAGAGCCATACCCAGCCCACCACAGACTGCAGCACCAGGGGGATGTTGTACTCCTGGAGCTGGAACAGCTCGGAGGGCTCACAGTCCACCGTGAAGCTGTTGGTGTCGTTGTTGAACTCCACGGGGCAGGTGAAGCAGCGGTACCCTGACATCACATAGGACAGCTCCAAGGGCACACAAAGGGAGACACAACAAAGAAAACAGCATTAATATCTTCCTGAGGGGAGCAGCAGAGCTGATCTCACAGAAAAGGCCATGCAAGGAGATGAGGAGAGGAGGGAGCCACACTCCGGTTTTCCTAAGGAGATTACCCTCCTGAGCAGCAGTAATTGGCTAAAGGCACAGCAAGAGCATCTGCTCAGCAAGGAGTGATCAGAGCTGGGCCAGGCTGCACCCCCTTGCTGAGGGGACAGCAACAGGCAGTCAGAGATGGTCGTAAAACTGGTTACAACACTCCAAGAGTGCAGAATTCCCCACACAGCCTGTGAAATGATGCAGAGCACCCATCCAAATTCCCCCTGCAATGAACATGTCACAGGGTTTATCAGGGACTGAAAACCTCCCCCAGTGTCTGCACACAGCCATGGACCAGTTCAGAGCAGGTCAGCAAAGAAAAGGTGAAGTCTCTGACAAAAGCTGGCAGAGATTAAAGCCTGACTGCATTTTTTAGACAAAGGGAAAAGATCAATGAAATAAGCACCAACTTACCAGCCATCCGAACAAAACAGTGGAAAAAAATCCTCCAATAAAACCCTCCCAGGTCTTCTTTGGGGAGAGCTGCCCAAGGGAAAGAGAAGGAGGTCATTATTTCTGCACCTCTGCAGCCCTTCCTCACCTGTGAACTGCTGAGGCCAATACAAGCTGGTGCCACCATCCCCAAATAAGAGTTTGGTCACAAACTGCCACCAACATTTCAGCCTGAGACCGCTCATTCATTCCCCGTTGGACTCCACGATCTTGAAAGTCCCTTCCAACCTCAACCCTCTATTATTTCATTTGATAGCCTCCTCAGACTGGGATGCACACCAGGTTTAATTTGGAGGCTCGCTTCAGACCCCCAGCAGGAGCTGAGGGAACACAGCCCCAAGGCCCAGAGAGGCCCAAACCCACGCTTTGCTCCCCAGAGTGGCACAGACCTTGATGAGCGGCGTGCGGCCGAAGAAGAACCCGAACATGTAGGCCATGATGTCGTTGCAGATCACGCAGGAGATGGGCACAATGAACCTGCAGGGCACAGGGATCAAACCACTGGCAGTGCCAAGACCAGACAACGCCAAGACCTAACGAGCAGCTGCCATTACAAGGGGCTCTGCAGGGCCAGCACACCAACCTTTCCTCCTCCAGGGCGATGCAAGGAGCACCCACTTGGAGCTCCACGGGAAATCTGGGGGTTACTCAAGTGTTCTGGGCTAAAGAGGGGGTTGTGCACCCAGAATGGCCTGTTTCAAGCACACTGCCTTTAGTCCCACACGACATGCTGCTGGGCACTGACCTCCCCACGCCACCCCCAGAGTCCCCCGGGCTGGCTGTCACACACAGAGGAATGTGCAGTATTAAAGTGGCCCAAAAATTACTTCCTGGCCCTGCTGGTTTTGGCAAGACCACCAGAGGGGCTTCCCCTCTGCACAGCAGCTGGAGTGAGGTGGAAGGTTCCACCTCCTTCCTTCCACAGCACGGCCTTTACCATCTGCTGACAGCCCGGCCCCAAATCCAGCAGCACTCTCCTATCCATTTTTTGGGGGTAGGTATCAACAGAAATCATCTACCCAGGCCTGACACCACCTGAAGGGTCCCTGCACCCCACAGGTATTGTCAGATGCTCCTTTACAGCATCTCTCTAGTGGCACAAAGCAAGTCCTAAGACATTGAGGAGTCACTCAGTCTTTTGCTGTTCCTGCTCTGTTCTGGACAGGCTGGTCCCTCACAGGGAGCTCCTTCCCCTCAGCCATTTCAGGCTGCAAAAAAATAAAGCCCTCAGAAGCCAGAGCAAACTCACCAGATCATTCCTTCAAACAGGTTGTGGATGATGAGGTGGGACTGGGTGACAACAATCAGCAACGTCACGTGGGTCCACCCGAACTGGAAGAGAAGACAAGGTGGAGCCCAGCCCGCCCAGGGACACTGCCCTGCTCTGGGGGCAGAGCTCGGGGGGCTGTGAGCTCCCTCAGAGAGCACCTCTGCCAGGACAAACACCAACAGCCACCCCGTGGAATTTATGGGCAAGTTCTGCAGCTCAATCCCAGCTGAGACCTTCACTGGGAACTCCTGCTGCTCCCCATACACCTCACTCAGATTTCTGACTGCAGGAGAAGAGCAGAACACTAACAGATATCCAAGCTGCATCCCTGTTTTGTTGAATGTTCTGGAGAGCAAACCCAGCTGGGTCAATGGTCACAGGTGAGGAAACACCTCACTGATGTCTGGGAAGAGGGAGACAAAGCCAATCTGTCCTCAGCACCTGCAGCCCTCTCATCTTCCTCACAGCATCCACGAGTGCAGAGGGAAGGGAACACATCTTTGAAGGGGAGTTCTGTCAGAGAGCTTCCTAAAAACACAGTCTGCTCACAGGCACCTTCCTTCCAGGCAGCAGTACAATGCACAGCCAGCTCAGGAGCAGCTGCTGACACATCGACCTCCACACATCTTCAGACAGCCTACATCATTCCTGCTTGTGCCTCCCACTGGGGGCAGCCATTCAGGCCCTGATTTAATCCACCAGGCCCTGAATTTAACCCACCAGGCTCTGAATTTAACCCACCAGGCTCTGAATTTAACCCACCAGGCTCTGAATTTAACCCACCAGGCTCTGAATTTAACCCACCAGGCTCTGGATTTAACCCACCAGGCTCTGGATTTAACCTCTCCAGCCCTTGAATTTAACCTCTCCAGGCCCTGAATTTAATCCACCAGCTCCTGAATCTAAGCTTTCCAGGCTCTGAACTTAACCCAGCAGGCTCTGAATTTAACCTAGGCCCTGAATTTGATCTCACCAGCCCCTGAATTTAACCTTACCAGCCCCTGAATTTAACCTTTCCAGCCCCTGAACTCAACCTTACAAGGCTCTGAATTTAATCTCACCAGACCCTGAATTTAACCCAACAGGCCCTAATTTTGGACCTTACCATGTAGAACTGGAGGCGATAATGTTTCTTCACCAGGCTCAAGACAAACATGCAGAAACCTGAGGAGAGACAGAAGAAAAGCCAAAGGTGGGAAATGCACCTTCCACAGCCAGAAAGAATTTTGTACCACGAGACTGAGCAGCTACTGAAGATTTTACCTGAGTAAAAGATCAATTTTAAGCAGGGAAAGCACTGTTTTGGAAGTCACACCATTGCCTACAGGTATCCCTTGGAGAGGAGAACAACCTGGCTGTCCCAGACAGATTATGGATTTTTTGGGGTTTTTTTTCTACTCATGTAAGAAAGAGATTTGCCCCCACTGCTCCCCCCCCGAGCCAAGTTACAGCGTCCCTGGAGAGCACAGATGGTTTGCTTTGGACGCTGCACCGGGCACAGCACGCAGGGTGAGAGTCATTCAACACTTCCCTGCCCAGGTGAGGCAGCAGAAGGGGCTGTACCTGTCAGGTAGAGGGCGAAGGAGATGAAACGGTGGTATTTGCTGAGGATCCGCAGGGGCTCCTCCCTCTGCACCAGCGTGAAGAAATAATCTGTCACCGTCTCCCCGTAGAAGAAATAGTTCACACAGAGCAGGAAGTACCTGGGGAGGACGGGGATGCTCGTTAGGAGGAACCCTGGAGAGCTTCTGGAGAAACACAGGAGGTGACTGATCCCCCTGGATCACTGCCCTGGGACAGGGCCCTTCAGGTGACAGCCTGGACTTTATTTCCTCCAGTTTGGAGAAGAGAAGCTGTGGCTGCCCCTGGATCCCTGGGAGTGTCCAAGGCCAGGCTGGAGCACCCTGGGCTGGTGGGAGATGTCCCTGCCCGTGGCAGGGGGTGGCACTGCATGGGCTTTGAGGTCCCTTCCAACCCAACCCATTCTGGCATTCTGTGGTTCTGTGCCCCCATGTTCAGCCCTGTTTCACAACCACCTGAAAACTCCCATCCCACCCACACAACCACATCCATCTGCAGGTGGTGACTCCTGTCACTGCTGTCCCTTGCACAGATCAGGGGATTCTCATCTCTGCACTTCATTAGCAACAGGACAAACTTCACCAATGAGGGCTCTCCTAAGATGCTGATCTATCAAGACTCCTGGGGGCTTTTTGTTCTAGTGGGAGGTGTCCTAGAATGAAATGAGATGATCTTTAAGGCCCCTTCCAACCCAAACTGTTCCATGGTTCTGTGATTTGCCTTTAGAGGAGCTGTTAACACACACCACAGTGAACACACAGCAACCCCAGGGTCTCTGGGGGTGTCCCCTGCCCTGGGATGGGCTGTTCCTGCTGCACACTCCTGGGCAGGGGAGCAACCCCCTCACTCACCAGCTGAGTGTCCTGAACCAGGGCAGGTCGTAGGAGTGGTACACGTTGTAGCCAATGGTGATGATCTCGTGGAAACACTTGATCTGCACACACATCACCTGCACAGAAAGACACCCAGAGCTGCAATCCACGGTGATTAAACAGCTCTTTCCTCAGGGAGACAAAAAACATGCATGTGCAGAGCAAGAGGTACTTTAACAGTTGACATCAGCCTGGCAGGAGCCTCCTAATCCACCACGGGGATCTCACCACGCCGTTCTTCCCTCCCCTTTCCAACAACCTCCTCTCTTCGTTCCAAACTGCAGCCAAATGCTGACCAGCAGATTCCTGCCCAGGTTTTCATCCAGCCAGATGAACAGGGCCTCCTGAGACACGAGGCTCTGAGCTTCCCACCCCACCAATGGTCCCAGCAACCTCCCCACCGTGGCCGTGAACGTCAGGACGCTTCCCTGGAGCACTTACAATTGTCATCAAGACCATGGGCCCCAAGTAGATGATGATGAAGAAGAAGGTGATCATTGCCAGCGTGAGGATGCCCCTCACCCACCAATTCTTCCATCTGGGCCAGAGAGAAGGGAAGATGTCAGAGGTAAGTCAAACCAGAGCGAGAGCAGCCGAGCTCTATGTGTGTCACAGGAAGGAAACTGAGCCCTGGAAAGCCCAGGTTTCCTCTCAGTGCTGCAGAGAGAGCTCGAGCTGCTGCCAAAGGCCTGGCTGCAGCAGCTGCAAGGCTTCAGATCAGCCTCACTAACTGCAGAAGGCATTAGAGAGGTGCTGGGCATCTCCAAGGCATTCAAATGGGACAGTAGAGCGTCTGCTCCTGGCCTGCTACAGGTTTCCCACCCCCTGGACAAGCTGCAGGATAAGTTTAAATAAAATAGGGACCACCCCCCCTTCTCTGCACTCCTTTCAAGGAGGAGAGATGGGCCGTGAGGTGTTGTACCCTCAGTGCTGCCCTGCCCTGAGCCTGTCCCATCCTCACAGCACACCCAGGGCTGACACCTTCTGTGATAAAAACAAGACACTTCCCCCCACCACAGTCTGTAGAGAACATCCAGGCTGCTGTTAACTCCTGCTGTTAACTCCTGCCCTCCTCAGCATTGATTTCTTGTGCATTTCCTGCACACTGGTGGTTCAAAACCTCCACAGCTCAAATCTCTGTGAGTGCTGTCAAAGCCACACACACCCCCTGTGGTCTCTCCCACCCAGGCCCCTCCACCTGCCAGGACCCAGCAGGAAGCCAGATCCTCCCACAGCCCCCTCCTCTCCCACCCACAGCACCCCTGACCCTGCTCCCTGCTCTCCCTGCTGCTTCCCGTGGCCTTGGAGGCAGGAAAAGAGCTGGGGAGCTGCTCCTTCCACTTCCAGCAGCCCCCAAAGTGCTGCTGGGCCAGGAGAGCAGGGGGAGCATGCAGGGCCCTGGCAGGGGAGGGGGATGATGCAGGGCCCTGGCAGGGGAGGGAGATGATGCTCAGAGAGTGTTACCTCGAGGACAGGTTGGACAGAGCTCTGTTCAGGACCTCTGGGGTGTCATCTGATGTCTGCACCGTGGAGGAGCCTCCAAACTCCGATCTGCTCTCGCTGTCCGACGCCGTCTCTCCATCCAGCCTGTTCTCGGACTCGGACTCCTGCCAGGGACAGACAGACAAGGAGCTTTACCAGCCACACTCCTTGGAGGAACTCAGGGCAGCCCACTGGCTGTAACACCAACCACCACTCTGCTTCTGCATCAGAGAAAATATTCTGGGTCTTACGCGGGGTGAGACCCACGGGAAACATCATCAGGTGTCTCAGGCGCCATCCACGATGGGTGGGATGTCCCTCAGCCTCAGCAGCAGCCACAGGAAAGGGTCTGTTCCCTCTTCACAGCCAAAGATGCCTCTCAGTTGATTAATGAGTATCTCCAAGTGCTTCAGGGACGCAGCCTTGTTAGCAGGAATTTTTACAAGGCCTCCCAATCCCCAGGCAGATCTCGAAGAATGTAACACTGCCCAAATTAGCCAGGAGGAAAGGCCTCTCCAAGCAGACTTCTGAAGTGCTGACTGCACAGGGACACTAAAAATAACGCCCAGCCCATCCTCAGGCAGCTGAAGAGGAAGAGCCCAGCTTATCACCCAGCCCCAACATCCCCTCTGGCACAGGAGAAACCCGGGACTGGCAAGAGAGACACTTTGTGCCTTCCCTGCCCCTTGGACTGCCCAGCACTCAGCTCTGAGCAAACTCCTGTGTTTAGGGGGAAACAAATACAGGGGAGGCAGGTGGTGGAAAAAGGATTCCAGGTGAGTTCTGGCCCCCCAGCAGTCCTGTGCCTCTTCCCAGTGGCAGTTTCCACTCCAATCCAGCTCCTGAACAGAGGACCAGTCCAAACTTAAAACATTTTGTCCCTCGTTTCAGCAGCACAGCTTCATCCTGCTCCTGGCTCCTTGAAGCAAGGAAGGAAAAGGCCACTCCCTGGGGAGCACTCAGGCAAGGCAGAGCCTGCACTTGGCACTGGAAACTCCTGGAAAAGGGAGAATGTTTGCAGGAAAAGCACCGAGGGAGCCGAGCTGACAAACACTGGGAGCTCTGTAAGCAAAGGGACTCCACTCCATCCCTGTGGGGTCCCAGCTCTGTAACCAAAAGGACTCCATCCCTTTGGGGTCCCAGCTCTGTAACCAAGAGGACTCCATCCCTTTGGGGTCCCAGGCAGTGCTGCCCACATGAGGGGACTGTTCTGGTACAACCTGTGGTTTGTGGTATTTGTAGTTCAGTGGAGCAGCGAGGCTGGAGCAGCTCCCTTATTCAAAGCAGGAAAAGATAATTACTGCCCAAGCTGGAACTGTCAATGGCTGCAGGCCAGGTTCTTAAATCAGACAAGGACAGCCAGGCACCGTCAGGTGGAGGCAGCTAAAAATACAACAGTGATGTCAGGGATTACTCCCAGGGACAGCAGAGCTCTGGCCACCACCAGCAGCACCACCAGCACCTGGGTGTCAGCTCTTCCTCACCTCCCTCCCTGCTCCTTCTTTCCATGCCCATCAGCTGGGAAGGAAGAGTTTGGGTTTGCTTTCAGCCAGACTTGCTGTCAGCCCCCACGTGGGCCTGGAGAGCTGGCAGTGAAATGCAACTTGGCTTTTTTTCAGCTGTTTTTTTAAGTGACCCGTGAAATCCACTCTGCCCCCAGACTTCAGAGAGATTTAGTGCCATTTAGCTGAGAACTCAAATCCATAAGGCAGCTGCAAATGGCAGCAGGCAGAGACTGGAAATGAAAAAACTCCCTGGAGATGACGAGTTTGGCATCTGACAGTCAGGTTTTGGGAAATCACTGCACTGTGTTGAGCTGCAATCCATGTTCCTGTTGCAATCCAGACTCTCTCCAACAAAAGGATTTCCTGCAGAATTCCCCTGGGAGCAACCTAAACAGCTCCAGCCTGGCCAGAATCAGAGTCTCCTCTGTACAGGCTAAACCCAAAAGGCTCAGGCAGATCCCTCCTGCAGTCCAAGGACCCATCACCTCACCCAGGTCACCGGGTGAAAGGCCCAGCACTGAAAGGAGGAGGCAGATCCAAGCAGCATTCCCAGGTTTTACTCCCCAAAGGCCAAGTGCAAAGCAGGCAAATCGTTCCTGGGTGCAGCCCAGAGGATCAGAAGTTCTGCAAAGTGCTCAGAGACCAAAAGGAAGGGAAAGAGCTCCCCTCCTGTGCCCTCCTGCCCTCCCCTCCTGTGCCCTCCTGGCCAAGGACACGAGGGATGAAGGCAAAGCCCAAGGGACTGAGGAATGTGATGGTACAACTGAACTGATCCCACAGCTGCTGGAACTGGCAGTCCTGATCCCTGCCATGTCCTGATCCCTGCCATGCCCTGATCCCTGCCATGGCCCTGATCCCTGCCATGGCCTGATCCCTGCCATGCCCTGATCCCTGCCATGCCCTGATCCCTGCCATGATCTGATCCCTGCCATATCCTGATCCTTGCCATGATCTGATCCCTGCCATATCCTGATCCTTGCCATGTCCTGATCCCTGCCATGCCCTGATCCCTGCCATGTCCTGATCCCTGCCATGCCCTGATCCCTGCCATGATCTGATCCCTGCCATGATCTGATCCCTGCCATGATCTGATCCCTGCCATGTCCTGATCCCTGCCATGGCCTGATCCCTGCCATGTCCTGATCCCTGCCTTGTCCTGATCCCTGCCATATTCTGATCTTTGCCATATTCTGATCCTTGCCATATCCTGATCTTTGCCACAGCCTGTTCCCTGTTTTATCCTGATCCCTGCCACGTCCTGATCCCTGCCACGATCTGATCCTTGCTATGGCCTGATCCCTGCCATGGCCTGATCCCTGCCATGGCCTGATCCCTGCCATGATCTGATCCCTGCAGCACCAAACCCCCAACAAACATTGCCAGGTTATCCCCAGAGTGTTTCCACTGAGAACAACTGAGCAGCAGCAGGAACCAGCTCTTCTCCCTGCTCAGCTCTCTCTGAATCAGAGCATTAGGATTATATAGGACACTGTGCCAGATATAGGCTACGGAGAGGACTCAGGAATCCACGCTATTTTTATACCTTTTATGCAAATTGCCCCCATCAGCCTACAAATCACCACTCTGAGCAGCTGAAGGGATGCTAAGCAACTTGTTAAAGCCTGAGTGTGATGATATATCCTGGGCTGGGCCGCTGAAGCCAGCTGTGGCACTGCCCTGGTGACACCCTCCTGCCCATTCCCACTGCTCTTTCCAGCCCTCCATGTGGGCAGACAGATCCCAGCAGCTGGCACTGCCCTGGTGACACCCTCCTGCCCATTCCCACTGCTCTTTCCAGCCCTCCATGTGGGCAGACAGATCCCAGCAGCTGGCTCTGCTCTGCCAGGCACGGATGCTCCCCGGGGCGGATTAAAGCTCATCACAGTCAGTGCTGCTGCAAAGGGATTGTGGCTGCCCAGGACTGCAGTGCCAGGGCTGCCAGGGCAGCTGGGTCCAATATTTTGTCACAGCCACAGCAGCTTTTTCATGCCTCATCTGTTCTCTCCTGTTCCTGCCCTTGAAACAAAAGCCTGGAGAGACTCAGACTGGCACAAAGTTACGCCAGAAATCATGACCTGCCTCCTTCCCCGGCCACTGGACTGCTCTCCTCCCATTCTCTCTCCTTTAGCCCTCCAGGGACTGTTTTTCTGCCTTTTTTTTTGGCTGCTGTTTAGGTTCTAAAATCAAAGCCCTTGAGCCTCTTCCACCCCACGCTGCCCAGACACCTCCCAGCAACCCCAGTGCTTCCCACTGCTGCTCCTGCAGGGCACAGAGCTGTCTCCAGCTCCAGTTATTCCATTTTCCCTCACCACAGCTCTGCCTGGCTGATTTTCCCTGTCAGTTCCTGATATTCCCTCTGCTTTTCTCCTCCCAGGCAAGGGGGCAGAGTTCCCAGGGTGTCAGACATCCATGTCAGACCCCTCAGGATGTCAGACATCCATCCACCTGCAGGATGCAGAGCTGGGAAAGAGTTAAAACCCCTCAGTAAGAGCAAAGCAAACCTTCTCTCTGGTTACCTTGGGATCTGGCTTTAGTCCTCCATTTATTTGACACTGAATCTATTAAAACACAATCAGCAGCAGCTTTTACTGGCTTTTGTTACCAACATGGAGCTATTAAATTGAACAGGGGGTGCTTTTGGCAAGCCCAAGGCTCCTTCTTCAACTGATCATCTCAATATTGAAGCCTTCTTACTACATCAAGGGCAAAAAGAATGAAGGAATAAAACCAAGATAACAACGCCCATTTTGTATTAATTCATTGATTTCTACACAAGTCACGATGAGAAGGAAGAGTAAAACCCCAACTCCCTGCAAGGAGTGAACCAGAGCAGATACCTGCTCAGTTTTTACATTTCTGAACTCAGCAGGTCTAAGCAACGTTTGCCAACAAATATTTTATCACCTCGGAGAAAGATCCACAGAGAAATGAGTTGTCTGAGCTCTCCTTAAACAACCCAGCTCCTTCAACCGTGGGGTACAAAATCTGTGCTCACATTTCAGTGGTTTTCTCACAGAGGAAGAACCTCTCACAGAGGTTTTTTTACCCAAACATCCATGACATGATCCCAGTTGTCATAGAAACGAGTCAGCTCTCTCTCCCTGCCAAAAACCTGCCCAGCACAGATCTACAGCTCAGTATCCAACGCTGGCAGATTAAATTCCTGCAAAAAAAAATGCCATTATTTGGGCACCTTCCTGCCAGATTCTGACAAAAAGCCGTGACAGAAAATAAAACCATAAAACAAATGCTGGGAGGGAGAAACGGGGTTGCTTTTTCAGGCAATAAAACTGACAGCTGGAACAAAAAGGGACCAACTGCACCGAGGCCTCTGCTGTTCTCACCTCCCAGCACACTGGCAGGATCAAAGCCAGGATAATTAGTTTAATGAACACAGACCCAGAGGCCTCAGTTATGAAAATCTCCGTGCTTTTGGGAAGGGGGTTTAATTCCCACATGCAACTGCTGTTCCTCTCTCCCTTTCTCCCTGCTTGACCCACCTCCCACCAAATCCACCTCTCTGGGTGAGACCGAGGTGGAAAAATCACCCCAGGGCTCCCAAATTACAGGGTGTTCTCATTCATGGGTTGACAGCTCAGGAGGGGGAAACAAGGGAGAAGTTTGGAGATCATTAACACTGGAAGG